CGACTAAATTGGTTGTGCTTCTCGTAACAGGAGTGTAGGCCAAGAAGTACCCGTCCGGAGATGTGAGTTAGTTTGTCCCTTGAGATGCCGTAATGGTCGCAGCAGGGTTTAATTCCATGGCGTCTCCAGGATATTTTTGCCTGATTTTTACAATCCCTCCCCCCAGCCCTGAGAGTGGGCCCCGCAGACCCAGTCGTATGCATGGTGCGGGGTGGGTGTGGGGAGCCCTGCCCTCCTGGGCAGTCCCGAGCCCCCGCCTCTGCCAGGCTCTCCCACCCAGAGCAGCCCTGAGCAGCCCACCACCCTTTCTCCTCTGCAAGGGGCTGAGGAAGAAGGGGCTGGACTGGGGCACAGATGGAGCTCTGAAGCCTCTCGGCCCAGGGGAAATCCCAAGCCACCAGCACAGAATGGACCAGCTCTCCTCCGACACCAGGCCCTGCAGGAGGGGCTCTGGAGGTGAGGGCACGCCAGAAGGGCCAGCTCCGGGGCAGAGACCCGGCCCCTGGGATCCTACACACCTAGGGCTTTCTCCCTCCGTCCTTCCGTTCATTCTGGCACAATTTTTTTTTTCCTTTCTCCCTTTTTTCCGCCTTCCCTTCCGCCTTCCTGCACAGACTATTATTGGAGCGCCTCCTGTATGGCAGCAGTGTTCTGGCGCCGAGGGTGGAGGTAATGTGAGCAGACAGCCAACGGTCCCTGCCTTGCTGGGTTACTATGAGTAGATGGACAATGACTCAGCAAGCAACGTGAATGCAGGATTCCCAGTTGTGATAGAAGGGCTGTGAGGCCAGAAACAAGAACGAGAGCCCCTGCTGTTGGACCCTGCCGCCCACGGGCGAGGCGCCCCAGCACTATGTCTGTGTGCAGCCGTGTAGTCCCGAGCCTGCGGAGCTTGCCTGCAGTGCCACCTGTGGTGGCTTCCCACGCCCTCTGCGTCAGTTGGATGGCGAGAAGGGCTCGTCTCCGCTTGCTGTGAGCTAGGCTGATGCCATGGCACTCCAGCCTGGGCAATGAAATGAGACTCTGTCTCAAAAAACAAAAACAACAAAAAAAGTGTAGCTCAGTGACAGCAGAGGCGCCAGGCCCCCCGGGGAGGGAGGCAGGAGAGCAGGGGCTGGGCTCCAGCATAGCCCCCCCTCCCCCGTCCGCCCTTGGGGACAGTTTTCTCCCAGCCTGGCCCACCCCCACTGGCCCGCTCGCCCCTCCGCACACGCCCTCCCACGGAGGCCCTCACACCGGCCCTGGGCTGTCTCACCTGCTGCAGGGGACGCGGGCGGCGCTGGCCGCAGAAGAGCCCCGGGTGCACTGGCTGCAGGCCCAGCTGACGGAGGTCATTGGCTTCCCCCACGACCTGCAGCCGCTCTCCGACAGCGTGGTTGCCGCCATCCAGGAGTATCAGAGGTATCGGGGAAGGCAGAGGGCGGGTGGGACTCAGGGCGAGCTGGAGCCCAGGCAGGACCCGTCTGCGGTCTCCACGACTACCTTCCGGGCTGTGGTTCCCCCGTGGCGAAGCTGGGCTGTCAGTCAGTCTGGTGACAGTCTTCCTTGCAGGGCGCTCTTATCCACCGCGGGGGTCACAGACCTTTGAGGTCCCAGCTCAGGGTGAGGTGCCGTTATGGGAATCTGCCCCCGCTGGTGGGTCCTCACGCCGAGAGGCTGCCCCAGCCCCACTGTGCAGCTGTTCCTTCCACATTGGCAAATGCCTTCAGGGTCAAAGTAGCTTTGGATGTCAGACTCACATTTCTGTTGTTCATTTATTTTTAAAATTTGATCAAGCGCTTTTGTTTGTTTATTTGCTTTTTGTTCTCAATGAGCGGGCCAGTCTGAATTAACTAGCCTTCCGTTACTGGAAGAAGTCTTCCTCTGTTATCTAACACTTTCAGTGACTAGGAGAGGAGCACTGTGTGCCCATTTTACAGGTGAGAAAACTGAGGCTCACTGACCTTAAGCCAGTTCAGGGCACACAGCTGGTCTGTCTGACTCCATACTCCCAGCTCCTTACACCTGCTGCTCCTTACACAGGAACAGAGGAGTGTCTTGTGTCTGATCTATGCAAGCACTTACAGGTCCCAGCGAGCCCCAGCATCTGTCCTTAGGAGGACACTTTTCATGTCGATGTTAGCCACAGTCCCTTTCGTCTATATCCTGAGCCCTCGGCTGCACACGCCCCCAGCAGCCTGCGGGACAGGAGAGAGCCCACCTGGGAGCAGTGCACGCTGGGCCCCTGGGTCCGACGGGGGCCTCACTCCTGGCCTGAGACCACTCTCTCCCCTCTCTCGGTTTCCCCCCTCCACGGTCCTCGCAGCCTGAAGGGCAAGAGCACCAGGCTGCGCAACGCCGCAGAGACAGAGCTGTGGCAGCGTTTCCAGCGGCCTCTGCAGGGTCTGCAGGCGTGGAAGGCCCTGGCCCAGCGGCTCCTGGAGGTCACCACCAGCCTGCCCGACCTGCCTTCCCTCCACACCTTCCTGCCCCAGATCGAGGTAACCAGGCTCCTGCCGGGGGAGGCAACCGGTGTGGCTGGGGGTGGGCCAGGCATGGCACTAGCTGCTCTCCCAGGGAAGGTGTGTCCCGGCTCCTCCAGGTATCTGGGGGAGCTGATCGCACAGTCCGGTGAGTCCTGAGTGCACAGGGGGTGGCAGTGCTCCTCTGTTATCGGTGACCCAGGTGGCCCTCGGTTCCTGGGTAGAAGGTGAAGCCTGCCGCCTGGTGTGACCCCACACAGACCCTCCCCCACCTGCAAGCGTCCCCGCTTCCCTTAGGACCCCACCACGGGCCGTCCTCTGGGAGCGTCTGCAGTCCTAGAGGGAGCAGCGTATCGGGCCGTTACCTTTACTGTGGCTGCACATGACCAGAAACCCGACAGCGCTGGCTTCAAGCACAGAGACGTTCAGGCAGCCTCGGGCTGACTGGACAGCTCAGCAGTGTCACCAGGCCCAGGCCCTATGTAGATCCAAGCCAGGTCCCCCTTCATGGCCCCAGGACGGCTGCCGCCACTGCATGCACACAGCACCCCACGAACAACACGCAGCACATGCGGGCTCTCCCCACGGCCACTTCCGCCTTTCAGCAGGGCGGCAATCCCTTCCCAGAGCCCCGGCACATGTCCCTCACATCTCACTGGTCAGCCGAGGTCATGTGACCACCCTGGACCAGCGCCAGCTGAGGATGATGGGATTGCACGGTGGTGGGCTTGGACCAATTACATCCACAGCCCTGGTGCGGGGCACCTGGCTGTCCAAACAAAGTCCTGGCTGTTTGGTGTGGGGAAAAGAGAACGGCCGTGCGATGAGCAGCTGACAGCAGCCGCCACGGTGGCTGCCACGTGCCTGCACGTGCTGCCTGTGCTGCCCAGAAAGGCTTTCCTGCCTAGAGGTTCTTAGACACAAGAGTGGAAGGAGACACAAAAGTGTGTCAGGTGTAAGCCCCCATTTTATATCAATTTCCATTCTGATATAAAAGCAGTGGAGCACGTAGAGATGTGCGAAGAAGAAAACAAAAAGCTCCCATAGTGCTCCCATAGTCCTCCCAGCCGTGGGAGCACCGTTGACGTGTTGGGAGCACGCTCTCCATCACCTTTTCTGCCCAGCGTGGTATCACTGGGGAGGACCAGTGACCAGGGCTGGTACCTGAGCCTCCTGCGCACGCTGTTCCACCAGAGACCCGTGCCTGCGTGTTGGTGCATCTACCCTGGGGTTTTCCATTTACGGCTCTTGTTGGAATAAGAACTTGTTTTCTGTCTCCATGGTTGTTAAGCTGCAGGGCATAGCCCTTCTTCCCAGGGGTCTATTCACCTCTTCCCCTCCATGCTCCAAAGCATGATGATCCATCTTTTTGAGGTACTCCTCAGGGCTCCCCAAAGTGAATTTCATGTGTGCCACAAACCTCAATTTAAGGTCAGAAAATCCTAAATCTGCCTTTTACATCTGATGAAATCCATCTAGACATTTCCAGGAGATACGGTCACCAGTAAAAGATTTAATGAATGAATTACAATTTCTGTGTATCTGGGATGCGGGATATCTATGTATGCACATTTTAACTTCCATTTCTACCATTAGCCTCCTTGTTTTGCAGACGAGGGATGGGAGCCAGGGAGCCTGTTTTACAAAAGAGTAACCTGAGGCTCAGAAGTGCCCAAGGCCTCCCAGCTAGTACATAATCCCAACTCACCATTGCAACTTCCCAGCCTAAATGCTTAAGTCCCGTGATACTGTGTCTGTGCTTGGTGCAAAGGGGGTGAAGGTGACCCCCCTCCCGTGAGAGGCTTGGCCTCTGTGTGGCTGGCCACAGGCCAACGCATGCACGGGCAGATCACGCCAGTACAGCTGCAGCAGCCGTGGTTATACGGCCTCCTCCAAGACAGGGCTTGATTTCCCCGACAGGAGTGTCCACCGCTGCCTTGTGCTCCCACTGCACTGGGTCAGACTTTGCTTAGGAAAATGATCGCTCTCTGGGTTGGATCAAAGTTACTCACCTGGGATCTTTGTTCGTCCTCTCCCAGCCCCACGCCCACCTAAGCGTCGTAAGTCTGAGAGTGGGTTCTCAGGAGCATCATCCGGTATAAACAGAAGGACTATTGCCAGTGGAAGACAAAACCTCTGGCTTCTAGAAGCCCAGACTCTTGGTTAGAGAAGCAAGAGGTGCTTACCTCACTCAGACAGCTGGAGAGCCCAGGCTTGGCTCAGGCCGTAAGAATTGCAGGGCTTGGGGCAAGCAGGGTGAGCGTGGGCTGGGAATGTGGTCAGGGCAGGCTTCCTGGAGGAGGTGGCCCTGGGCAGTGCAGAATTTGGGCTGTGTGGGAGCCAGCTGCCATTATATGAGGCTTCTGAGTTCCCTTAGGTCCCTTCTTTGCCTGGCAAACTCCCACACGTCACCACCACCAGCACTCCGCCGAGGAGTCGCCTCCTCTGGGAAGCCTTCCCGGATCCCCTCTCATTGTGTGCCCACGGGCCCACGGCCGCCTTCAGAGCGTCCAAAACACTGCTGGGGGGGGGTCCCACTGCTGTCACTGATGGGGGGGCCATTGGTAGAGGATCAAGCTGGTTGGGTCTGGGTCTGTCTGCAATGTGGGGGGCCGATTCTGGGGGCCCGGCTGCGAGGCAGCAGGCAGGCGGGAGCTGCGTGGGGCAGGTGGCGAGGCGGAGGGCGTGCCACAGCCGCGGCAGTGGCGACGGAGACAGGTCAGGTCTCCGAGACGTGTGGGAGGCAGAGACTCAGGCTCGCATGGAGACGGATGTGGGGGGAGAGAGAGGAGCCAAGTTGGCTTTGAAATTCAGGCTCTGCCCAGCGCACTCCTGCCAGCCCGGGTTTCCACCTGTGTCTGCTGCTGCCCCAGACACCAGCACGGAGGCGCAGCTCCCTGAGAAGTTGCAGCCAGCACAGGTGTGCCGCCGGCCCCGTCCCGAGCTTTGTCCTGCCCGGCCGGCCGTGCTCTGTGGTCACCGGAGGCCTTGTCCCCGCAGGCGGCGCTGGCGGAAAGCTCCCGCCTCAAGGAGCAGCTGACCATGCTGCAGCTGAAGACAGACCTGCTGGTCAGCGTCTTCGGCCAGGAGAGAGCCGCAGCGCTCCTGGAGCAAGTGGCAGGTTCCGTGAGGGACAGAGACCTGCTACATAACAGCCTTCTGCAGCGGAAAAGCAAACTGCAGGTGAGCCTGCCCGCGGGGCAGGAGCCACCACTCCGGGCGGGCGGGCGGCCTGCGTTCTGATCTCAGCCCCACCCCTCGCCCCCGCTCCTCGTGTGTAAACTGGGCAGGATGCCTGCGCGATGCCTCCACCTGGTTCTCTGGCCACCTGTCTGCCTCCCAACCCTGCCCCAAGTCCCCTCTCTGCACTGCAGTCAGACTGAAGCAGGCCCAGTCTTCCGCGAGAGCTGGGGGAGAGTCAAATAAGAAAATGCAGATAGACCAGGTGTGGTGGCTCACGCCTGTGATCCTAGCACTGGGGGAGACCAAGGCAGGCAGATCATTTGAGCTCAGGAGTTCGAGACCAGCCTGAGAAAGACTGAGACCCCCATCTCTACTAAAAAAGAAAAAGAAAAAGAAAATAGAAAGAAATTAGCTGGACAATTAAAAAAACCACCACCAACAAAATATATATATATATATATATAAATTATATATATATATTAATACATATATATTATTCCCAGACATGGTGCGCATGCCTGTAGTCAGCTACTCGGGAGGCTGAGGCAGAGGATTGCGACCGGGAGTTTGAGTTGTGTGAGCTAGGCTGATGCCAGGCACTCGAGCTGGCAGAAGAGAGTGAGACCTCTCCAAAAAGAAAAAAAATGCAGATAAAAAGCACTGTAAACTTTCACCTCCACAGAGCTGGAAGCTAGCTCAACAATGACACCACTGCTGAACGACTACACGAAGACTGGCATGGCATATTGTGGGCCATTGTTTTTAATGTAACAAATACCTGCGAGCATCCAATGCAGTGGCAGTAATCTGTGATTGCGGGCACTGCCTACGAGCCTGCTTTAGTCCTTGATCTTTCTCATCCAAGTAAGAACACTGTGGAGGGAGGTGCTTTTACTTTCCCTGCTTTACACGTGAGGAAACTAAGGCAGGATGGTCAGGGAGTGGCTCATGGTCTATGGGTGGCCAAGCAGGACTCAGCCGTGAGCTCAGCTCCCGGCGCTGTTGCTGCCTCAGCAGGCCTGTACGGTTCTAGGAAGCCAAGGTCTTTGCCCTCAAATGCTTGCAACCTGGTGGCGACCATAATAAGCAGGCCATTCCCAGGAGGCACCAAAGTGCTGTCTAGAGCGAGGTCCGGAACTGCTTCATAAAGGCAGGTGTGACGGCTGTGGCGTTTGCAGGCAGGCGGCTCTGCTGCAGCTGCTCACCTCTGCCACCGTGGCGTGAAAGCAGGTGTAAATGAATGGGCGTGGCTGTGTCCCAGCAAAACTGTATTCACAAAAACAGGCCCCTGGTGGGTTTGGTTGGCGGCAGGGGCTGCAGCTTGCCAGTCCTATTCGAGAGGCGAGTTCAGCATTATGTGAGGACACTCTGGGGACCCCAAGGAAAGGCAGCCAACCCCATCAGGTTCCGCGACGGCTTCCTGGCATGGGTGGTGCCTGAGCGAGGATGAGCTGGCCGAGAGCAAGAGCAGCCTGAGCGAGGATGAGCTGGCCGAGAGCAAGAGCAGCCTGGCTTCAAGAGTCTGGTCTTAGAGCAAGGTGCCCCCGAGGAAAACTTTTGACGTGCGTGCTTCCCGGTGTCTCTGCAGAGCCTGCTCGCCCAGCACAAAGACTTCGGAGCTGCTTTTGAGCCCCTGCAGAGAAAGCTCTTAGACCTCCAAGTCAGGGTCCACGCTGAGAACGGGCCGCAGCGCGACCTTCCTGGAAAACAGGCCCAGCTCTCGAGGTTGCAGGTAAGGAAGGCGTCTGTGGGGCCCAAGTCACCCCCACCCGGGTGCTCAGCTGCACCTAAGAGCAGCCCCCTTCCTTTGGCAGTAACCGGCAAAGCAGCAGCTGGCTTGAGCCAGAGAGTTAGACCCTTCCTTGAGATCTGACCTTTCGTCTCAACAGAATCTTTGCTTATGTATCTGTTGGTTCCTGGCCTCCAGTTACCCATTCTCGAGCCTAAGAAAACGATAAGCTTTTTGTTTACTCCTCAGTTCCGAAGTCTAACACTGGTATTTGTTTTTTTAAAATTGCTTTGCTATTAAGTATTCCTAATGAGTCCAGAGAGTTTGAGTTAAACAAACCAATCTGAGGATTAAGAATAAACGTTCTAAAAACACATGTGGACTGTAAGGCTGATCCCTGGACATTGTTGGCTGGATAAGGGGGCTTACAGGGTTTTAAAATGCATGTGATGCACATTTATCTTTTTAAAACTCAAGCTCACACATAAATTGAATGTTCTTGGGACGACATGAAAGATGGTGAATTTGGGGCAACTAAAATTGGGTTGTGCTTCCTCGTAACAGGAGGTAGCCAGCAAGTACCGGTCCAGATGTGAGTAGTTTGTCCCTGAGATGCCATCTGGTCTGCAGCAGGATTTATTTTCATGGCATCCCAGGATATTTTTGTCTGATTTTTAAAATCCCTCCAGCCCTGAGAGTGGGCCCGTCAGACCAGTCGTATGCATGGTGCGGGCATGGGTGTGGGGGAGCCCTGCCCTCCTGGGGCAGTCCCCGCGCCCCCCGCCCCCTGCCAGGCTCTCCCACCCAGAGCAGCCCTGAGCAGCCCACCCATTCCTTTCTCCTCTGCAGGGGCTGCAGGAAGAGGGGCTGGACCTGCGGGCACAGATGGAGGCTCTGAAGCCTCTCGCCCAGGGGAATCCCAACCACCAGCACAGAATGGACCAGCTCTCCTCCGACTACCAGGCCCTGCAGAGGGCTCTGGAGGTGAGGGGCCGCAGAAGGGCCAGCTCCGGGGCAGAGACCCGGCCCCTGGGATCCTACACGCCTAGGGGCTTTCTCCCTCCGTCCTTCCTTCATTCTGCACAAACTTTTTTTTTTTTCCTTTCTCCCTTTTTTCCCTTCCCTTCTGCCTTCATGCAACAGACTATTATTGAGCGCCTCCTGTATGCCAGGCAGTGTTCTGGGCCCGAGGGTGGAGGTAATGTGAGCAAGACAGCCAAGGCCCCTGCCCTGCTGGGGGTTACGAGCTAGGAGGGTAGATGGACAATGACTCAGCAAGCAAGTGAATGCAGGATTCCACGTTGTGATAAGGGCTGGGAGGCAGAAAGACAGAACAGGCTGCTGTGACCCTGGCCGCCCACGGGAGGCCCCAGCACTCTGGGCAGCGTGGTTGAGTCCCGGAGGCCGAGGAGCTTCGCCTGCAGTGCCCCCTAGTGGCTGCCCGAGGTCTTCCAGGCGTTGGCACGGGGCTGTCTCCCCCAGCGTGGGAATGGAACTCCAGGCGCCTTCAGAATTGGCCCGAGGACAAGCTGGAATGTAGACGCAGGCTGGGCTCTGACATCTATTCAGGTGCAGTCCCAGGTCTGCCTTTGCAACAAGCCCCCGAGCGCAGAGCCGGCCTCTGGCAGCCACACCGTGAGAAAACCCAGTCCCGGGCAGTGCCTCCCTCCCGACCCCGCGTGCCCTATTTTAATCACAAATATTCCTGACGTCCTCTTTACCATCTCAGGATTCATAGATAGTGTAAGTTACCCACACAGGAAATAGAAAAGAGAAATAAAAGGAAAGTAATTATGATAAAATAGTGTCCGTCAGTGCGTAGGTACTCCCAGACGGCCACACTCAAGACTTGGAGGAGGTCAGAACCCTCTATCTAGTCCACGGCCAGCCGCCCATTGTTTTAGATAACGGTTGCATTCCTGGAGAAGTCAAGCATTTTTTGTTAAAATTGCAAAAACGTCTTTGTGTTTGTGTGTTAACTAGAGTGAGAGTCTAAGCTCAGGGTGTGATGAACAGGTGTTTTTGTTTTTTAACCGCTGTGGATGTTGGCAGGACATTAGAACATGCTGTGGCGTCTGTGCAGTTCTAATTCTGCAGTGTTGGACTGTCTTACCGAGGATGGGATAGGGGCACCCAGGCCTGTCACTGTGTCCGCTAGCATCACCCTCACCCCACTGCTATTGCAGCAACCAAAACTCGCCCACGAGTTTCCAGGAAACAGGCACCACCTATAGAGACCCAATGATCTAAGCAACAATTAAGGTCTCTTTGAATTCGTTTAATTCCAGTTAATAAATTAGCAGCCAGTGGTCTCAGGTTGAGGCAGGGCAAGTAGAGAAATAGAAAACACTGTCTGCACCCTTCGGGAGCCCACAGAAGCACAAAAGTCAGCTTTCGTACCCACCTGCAGACAAATGATGAGCTGGGTTAATCACTATAAGAAGCAGCAGTCACTGAGCGTCACTGGGCATTGCAAGACGATGTTCCCATTCTGCCGTACTTCTTTGCTTACTGTTCACATGCTTCTTTAAAAAGGAATTGCCCTTCTTTGATTGTTCTGGTACTCAGTGCTTAAGTCTAATAAGCCCTGATACGTGAAGTGACCTCCGCGTGCCCCTGGGGACGTGTGTCCCACGCTGGAGATCACAGCTCTGTGCAGCCGGGAGCCTTGGAAGGCGTTTGGTCCGATGTTGGCACACGGGGGGCCAGGAGGTGACAGTGGTGTGAGAGCTCAGAGCAGTGGAGTTTTAGGAAACTTCGCAGGCCCACATAGTGGTCTGCTGAGGACAGATGTGACAATGTCCCCAGCCCCTGGCACGGGCCTGGCACGCAGTGGTCTCAGCCAGTGTTGTGGGACATGGGGGGCAGGGCCTGCAGCGGCCAGAGAGTCACGAGGACCCCATCCAGGCAGCACGGCAGGATGGGACCGTGTCCTGGGGTCTCACCAGGTGGGGGTGGGCCGAGGAGGGGCCCAGGCTGGGTGGCCAGGAGGATGGAGACTGGCTACCCGCTGGGCTCAGCACCCGCCCTTCCTGGAGACAGAGAACAGCAAGGCCCCTGCTCAGAGAGCTGAGCAACAGGTTGGCCCAGGAAAGGGAAAAAAAACTGATACACTGTGTTGACAAACTTTTTATCGAAGCATAAACAGGATATATACATATATATATATACATAAACCATATACAGGAAGATGATATATATATATATATATACATAAACCATATACAGGAAGATGAATATCTAAGTGTGCAGCTCAATGAATTTTAAAAAAAATAAATGCGTCTGTGTTATGAGCACACAGATAAAACCCAGAATAACACTGGCCGCCCAGCTCCCGGGTGCCCCTGGGGCACTGCCCAGCCCCACCATTACCAACCCTCAAGGGTCACCCTGACCCCAGGCTTGTCACGGCACAGAGTATGCCTGATTTTATCCTCCACTTAAATTGGATCGGACAGAATGTTTTCTTTGGTGTGTGAGTAAATGCACCCCTAGCATTGCACGTGCTTATGGGCTGGCCCTTCTTGCTGCTGTAACACATTTCATCGCCTGAATCCACCACCGCGTGTTATTCACTCTACTCTTGATGGCACCTGGGTAGTTTCCAGGGTGGGGCCATCACAAGTAACATCGCGTGGGTGCCCTTTGGTGAGGATGGGTCCCCATGTCCACCGGGTATCATGTGCCCGGCAGCGGAAAGGCTGTGTCAGGAGGTGCATCGTGTTCGGATGTAGTAGATACTGACCAGCGGTGTCCGTAAGGGCTTGTGCCAATGTACATCAGTGCTGGACAAGAGACAAGAGCTCCGATTTCCCTCCCCCCTCCCCTAGACTTGGGAGTTTCCACGAAAGTGAAACAGGCTCAAGAGGCATTTTAAACCAGAGTTGATCTTCCGGGGGCGAATTCCTTGTGCCGTGTAGAAGGGAGGACCGGCGTCTTGCATTGCTGCCGGGTGGGGACCCCTGGGGGCCTGGGCAGGCCTGGGGGGCCTTCAGGGTGGGGGTGGTGCCCAGGGTCTCCCCTCTGGCCAGCACTCAGGGCGCCCTGGGCCCTCCGGGCTGTGCCGCAGGACCTCGTGGACAGGTGTCAGCAGAGCGTGCGGGCGCACTGCACCTTCGCCCACCAGCTGCTGGAGCTGCGGCGGTGGATTGCTGGGGCCACGCAGAGGCTGGAGTCACACCGGGGGGACTCCGGCCCACGGGATGTCCAGTCCCGAGAGCTCGAGGTGGAGGTAAGGTGGTGAGGCCCCAAAAGCAGCCTCAACAGGCCAGCACTTCCACACTGGCGGCCAGAAGCGGGGTAGCGCGCAGAGACCATCCCCGGCCTGAGACCTCCCTGCGTGTCCGTGTGTCCTGCAGAGGCTGGTGGCGGAATTCCCGGAGAAGGAGGCCCAGCTGCCCCTCGTTGAAGCGCACGGCCGGCTGGTGATGGAGCAGTCCTCCCCGGAGGGGGCCGCCGCGGTGCAGGAGGAGCTCAGGGAGCTGGCGGAGGCCTGGCGGGCCCTGCGGCTGCTGGAGGAAAGGCTGCGGAGGTGAGGGCGCCTCCGGCCCTGAGCCTTGTGCGAGACGACGCCCCTCCCCGCCCGGGAGAGCTCAGGGTGCTCGTGGAGCAGGTGGCAGGGGCTCTGCTGTGTGCCCGGCGTGGCGACAGGTGCCTGGGGAATCTCCACGCTTTGGCCAATCGGTGATTCTATCAGGGCCAAGAAGGGCCAGGAAATGTCCCTGGGTCAGGAGTTTGCCTCCACCCTATTCCGGCTTCAGCCTCGGTTTCCCCATCTGTATCAATGGGTGTCCGCACCTTCCTGACAGGGTAATGTCGGTTTAAAGTCAGAAACTAGACGTGACTATGCCTTGGGAACACGCTGACACACCTGAAGCAGGGCCCTGACTCGCCCTGACTTGATCCCCCAATTCTATTCTCCCGAGGCCTGGTGGGTCCCCGTCACCTCACCGCACTGATGGGGCCGAGTTTGTCTCCTCAGCCTCGTCAGAAACTGGCAGCTGCATCGGACAGAAGTGGATTCGGGGAAGAAAATGGTTTTCACCAACAACATCCCAAAGTCTGGGTTTCTCATCGACCCTGCAGATCCTATTCCCAGGCATCGTCACCAGGTGAGTCTGCCCAGGGGGCCTGCAGGAGAAGGGGCAGGTCCCAGGTCACGCGGGATAGGGGTCCCCGGCACAGCGCCTCCCTGCCCAGGGCCACATGCTCAGCTCTAAGGACCTGGCACATCCTGCCTCGCTCGAGCCGGCCCCTGCCGCGGCCCAGGGAGCACTTGCCCGCTGCTCAGAGGGCCTCAGAGATCCCAGACTGCAGAGCCGGGCCACCGGGGAGGGACGTGGGCGTCCCTTGGCCAGATAGGCACTCGCCTCTCTGAACCACCAGCAGCAGCCACTGCAGGGGGGAGGGCGCCAGGGCTGACAACTTCCTGCTGGCCCCAGGTTGGAAACTGAAATCGCACACGATGGGTGTGTTTTTGTAAAAAATAGCTGTATTTTGTAAAAAGAACCAACAGCACTGTATCATCCATCACTTTCTGTACTGCAAAAAACGGAGGCATGTTGAAAAGACGGTTATTCCTCATCCTTCAAAAACAATGTGTCAAACTAGTCATCCTCCCATTCATTCTTTCATTCACTCATCCCCAACACCTGTATTGAGTGTTGCTGTGTTCCAAGGCCTGCGCTCAGAGACGGGACACAGCTGTGAATGACACTTCCTGCCCTCAAGGAACTTAGACTCCAGCCCGGAGCTTTTCAGACTGTGACGTGCTCCTGGCCTTATATTAAAATGCACGTCGAGAATCAGTAGGTCCAGGCCAGGCCCAAGACGGATTCTGCCTGCATTGCTAACAAGCTCCCAGGACACGCCCATGCTGCTGGGCCCAGGAGAAAGGCAGGGGGACCCACAGGCGGTTAAATGAGAGTCTACACCAAGCCCAGTGCAGTCGGCGGAGGGGCCAGATGTCAGGGGAGCCTGCAGGGAGTGGGGGTGACAAGAAATGTCAGCGTGTCCAGGCAGAGGGGATGGTGTGTGCACAGACCCGGAGGGCGAGTGAGTGCCAGCTCGAGGGGCTGAGACAGGTCTGTCTGTTTGCTCAGAGAACAGGGAAGACAGCAGCACCCCAGAGTAGGGAGTGGGTGGCAGGGAAAGCAGAGCCTGAGGCTCTCGGGCCACCCTGGGGAGGTGTGAGAAGCCACCAAAGTGTATTAGCAAGTACTTGGCTGAACAGACTTGCACTTTAGACATCCCTCTGGCCATGGAGTCCAGAGGGCAACACGCATGGTAGAAGGGCGACCACTGTATTTTCCACCAGGGACCAGGGAGCGGAAAGTGAGCCATACTCTTAGCCCCTAAATGTGGCCACTCTGAGTAGAGATGCACCTCTCCTCCCCCAGCCTCTCCCGTCACCATTTGTGCATCCTGTCCTCGCCCCTGCCCCTCTATCTCAGGTGAAATCCTCAGGACACATGGCCAGTGGGTTTTTGTTTTTTTTTTTACCTCTGATGCTTTGGCCACATGCCTTCCTGCAGGCAAACCTGCTCCAGGAGGACGAAGCCAGCCATGAAGACTTCGCCCAGCTCCTGAGCAACTTCGAGCAATGGCTGCAGGTGGAAAATTCCAAGCTGGTTAGAATCATCGCCATGAAAACCGCCACAGCCAGGGACTTGAGGACCAGAGAAAGGAAGCTGCAGGTCCGTTCCCAAGGAAAGGGCTCTTGCCCACATTGTTTGTGCCTGCAGATATATTGCCACCAGGGAGTTCTTAAAAAAAAAAAAAAAGGAGCACAGACCTAGTTCATGATCTGTTCTCCTTTGTTAGTAAATAATGATTTTTAAACTTTTCAGGTTCAAAGATTTTAAAAGAACTTTTCCTGGCATTCATCCATCCCTTCAGCCCACTTCTGTGTTTCCCTATGTGGAAACTATCACCACTAACTGCTTGACCCCTACATCAGTTAGCTATTGCTGTGTAACAAACCACCCCAATAGTTTGTGGCTTAAAACAGCAACTGTTTGTTTAACCCCTGATTCTGAAGCGTGGCAGTTTAGGCTGAGCTTGGCTGGGCAGACGCTGCGTCTGCTTTGGCTGGGCTCCCTCCTCTGTCTGTTGTCAGTGGCAGGTGGGTGGGGCAGCTCTGCTTCTGGGGCCAGCAGGCTGTTGGAGATGAGAGTGGCGTGGAGCACACATCTCTTGCCACCCCGTGGGGCAGCCTGGACTTCACATAGCAGAGGCAGGGCCTAAGACAGCAGCTGGGAGCAAGCAAGGCCTTTTGAGGCTTAGGCTGGAAAAGGGCATAACATTAATCCCCCTGCATTCCATGGTACAAAACCAGCCCAGATTCAAGGGGAAGGAAAAGAGACCCCTTGATGGGGGGGGGGGGGCAGCTGCAAAGTCATTTTGCAAAGAACATGCATGTGGCCAGGGGAAGGGGGATGGGGAAGTCATGGCCATTTTTGCAATGGAGCTACCATTTCTCTTCTTTCTTCTTCACTGTCACATCTAATTAGTCACCAAATCCTCCTTGATTCCACCTCCTGGATATGTTTTTGTTTCAGTCCCTTTCACTACCATTGCCTTACTTTAGGCACTTACTGTTTTTGACTTTGATTGTGGCAGCATGTTCCCAGCTGGTCTCCCTTCTTCCCTTCGGGCCCAGCTTCTGGGTGATGGCTCATTCTGCAGCCAGACTAACCCTTCAGAGTCACAAATATAACCTTGTCCTCCCTCTAATGAAAAACTTTCGGTGTGGACTTTAAACCCCCTAGTTTATCACACAAGGCCTTTCTCAGCCAGGCCCTAGCCTACCTCTCTTTTTTCTTTTTTCTTTTTTTTTTTTTTTGCTTTTTTACTATGATAGGTTAGAGTTTGGATTTCTTTTTATTTATCCTGCTTGGGATTCATCTGAACTCCTGAATCTGTGATCTAGGATATTTCTGGAAAATTCTTTAATATTATCTCTTAAAATATTGCCTCTACCTTGTTCCCTTTCTCCCCTCCTTATGTGATGTTATTCCTTCTCACTGTGTACTTTATGTCTCTTACCCTCCCCTGTATACTTTTTATCCTTTCGTCTTTTCGTGTTGCATTCTGGATGGTTTTTTTTTCTGACCCATCTTCCAGTTTACTAATTCTCTCTTTATCTGTGTCTCATTTGCTATTACACATGTCTATTGAGTTCTTACCTTTCGTTATTATATTTGTCAGTTCTAGAACTTCTGTATGGCTCTTTTAATAATCTGCTCTATCATTTTTCATAGCTCCCAGATCATTGCTGAAATTAAGCTTGTCTTTTAATTCTCTGAATCTAGTACACATAGCTGTTTTACAGAATGTATCTAATAATTCAAGTATCTCAAGGCATTTTAGAAATGTTTTTATTGTATACTATTTCTGCCTGATCTTGTTCTTGGTTTCTTGTGTGTAGCTGCTTTGTTTATGTTCTGGACATTGTATTTGACAAAATATGTGTAAGAGTAATTTGAGATGTAGGAAAATCTCTTCCTCCAGAGAAGATTTTGTTTGCTACGCAAGGCAGGCACAAGCTTTATCATTCTGGGACTACTGAGCCCAAGTTCAAGACTTGAGGGTCCCCGGACCACTGAGATGACTGGGGGCCAGGCTCCAAGTCCACATCATGTCCAGGCTCACTTTTGGTTCACTTTATTCTGAGGGTAAAGCTTTTAGACATCTCAGCTAAAGGGTGAATGGTTTTTCACAATCTTCACCTCTGCAGGGCCCAGACTTTGACCTTTGTCTCCTTACCCCTGTGAAACTGCCAAAAGCACAGATCTGTTTTGCAGCTATTTCTTCCAAATTTGCCAATGTTCTAAGGGCAAAAGCAGGCCTAAATCCACTTCTCTGGGTTCTCAGCCTTTCCTGAGTTTTTGGTCTGATGTGCTTTGCTCTTTCTTTAACCCTTTAATGCCTTTAAAATGTTTTTAATATTTTGTCCTCAGTGAGAGATTTGATCCCAATCATCTAGTTGATTCTTACCAGCCAAGTGGGGCTGTCTAGGCCATTCGGAAGCTGCACCATGACGCTGTCATTTCCCCCCAGGAGCTGGAGGCTCGGGTACCAGAAGGTCAGCATCTCTTTGAGAACCTCCTTCGTCTTGGGCCAGCAAGGGGGACCTCGGATCAGCTGGAAGATCTGCGCTACCGGTGGATGCTGTACAAGTCCAAGCTGAAGGACTCCAGCTCCCTGCTGGTAGGTGCCTAGGATGCACCGGTCTCAGGTCTCGGGGAAGGGACCGTGGCTGGGCCCAGACTCACCCCGGGAGACAGAGCTCAGCCCACATCCACTCTGCCCTGTGCACCCACCAACCAGGCAAGGATGATGACTCAGAGAGAGGAGAGGGAGACTCCCGGGTCCTAGACAGTTGACTTGCATGATGTCATTTGGCCATCCAACCACCCTGTGGGGCTGGAGTCCCGGTAGCCACAGCAGTGGCCTCATAGTTAATGTGTAAGGAGCACTTGCTGCCTATCAAGCCGGGAGTTTTATGTGCATTATCCCATTCACTCTTTACAGCTACCCCCTGCTAGAGGAATGGTATCTCCACTCCAGTCTCTGGAGGGGAAGCTGAGACTCCGAGAAGCTGAGAACTTTGCCCAGGGCCCCACTGCTAGTCGGTGGCGGAGCCAGCATTAGAACACAGCCTTGTGTTGTCAGCGTGATGCGGGGAGCCCTGGGCTCCAGCCCCGCTTCACGAGCTTGCTTTGTGATTCAGTTGAGCAAGGACTTTCCCCTTTTGGGCCCTGGCGTCTCCTCGCACAAAATAATAATAATCATAATAGCTAAACTAACTTTTATTGAGTGGCATGTCCTCATAAGAACCCTATAAAAGAGGTACCATTATTATTCCCTGTGAAACGATAAGGAAACTGAGGCACAGAGGTTAAGTGTCCTAAGTCCCTAAGTTGAAGGGGGGTGGTAAGATGGCCCTGAAAGGCTCCAGGCTCTAAACTCCGGGGCTTTCCTGGCCCGACGCAGCCGTGACGGCCACTAGGTGTCAGCCCAGGCCAAGCCAGGTAGGCCGTGGCCCCCACCGTGGCCAAGGCCTTCCCAGACAGGTCCCAGCTGGGCCTGAAGTGCGTTAAAAAGCTCATTAAATCGAATCACCTGCTGGCTCAGGCTGTCCAGATGACCAGAAGTTTTAAAGAAACACTCCCCTGACAAAATGAATATTCCATTACAGGCTCTGTTGGGATTTAAGTTTCACTCACTTATTTTTTTTCCCCTTTTCCTCCCCTTCCCTAAAATAACAGACACAGAGTTCTCCAGGGGAGCCGACTGGATTCCAAAAGGTACGTGTCTGCCATCTGCTGCACACGGCCAAGGGCAGGGCGCCTGGAGGGGTGGTGGGCCGGAGACGCCAGGACGCCAGGGCAGGACTCATGTGCTCTCTTGAAGGTTCCAGGAGGACTGAGGAAGGTTTGTGGGGCATTGGCTCTGGGCTGCCCAGGGTCCTTGCTCCCAGGAAGCCCCAGGCCGGGGGAGGTTGGCAGGGTGTGTAGAGCCCCCCTTTCCCCCCCCACCCCCGCCCACCGTGCCAAGCACACGTGGGGAAGGGACTTGGAATTCCTCATCCCAAAGCAGGACACACTGGGAAGGGGACAAGGATGCTGCTGATAATGATGCCATGACAACAGGCATAAACTGGGACGTCCCAGGGAAACGGGGGGGTGTGGCCACCCTGGTGAGAAAAGGGTATACGGGGCTCGGCAGGGGACAAAGGAGGGAGGGGCGTGTCCCGCCAGGCAGGTGCCGCCAGGTAGCCCACGGAGCCTCTCTGGGCGTCTGCAGCCTACGTGCCCACCACAGCAGCAGAGATCATATGGATGATGATAACAGTGATTGTCGTTACTCCGGATAACGGAGTGTGTGCCAGGAACCGGGCGTCTCATTTAACGTTCCCGTTGACATCCCAGCTGCAAGCGTGAGGGCACAGAGAGGCTACGGTCGAAGTGACTTGTTCATCGGAGGCTCCTGCGTGGCTCTGGCCTCTGGCTGCAAAACCCACGTTTTGACCTTCTCGCTGCGCCTTGGAGAAGGCTGCCCCGGGGCCTGGCTGGTCTTCACGTTTCTGGAAAAGCCAAATGTGAATTGATGCCCCCCTGTGCCCCTGCTTCCAAGGGGACACCGTCGTTCCCCTGCCAGGCACCGGCCCCCGTGACACGAGCTTCCAGCTTGCGCTGCCCCAGGGAGCTCGAGTTCCTTGAGGTCTCAGTCCAGGGGACCTGTGTTCCCCAGGGGCTTTGCACGCCAGGTCTTCTTTCTGGTCTCCAGCTGTGTCACGTCCGGCATCTGCAGGGGCGTGGGTGACCCGTGGACTGGGGGAGGCAGTCGCAAGACCAAGACTGTGCTCTGGGCCCAATGCCAGCCAGCTCTGTGGCCTTGGGCAGGTCGTTTTGCCTCCTAGGGCTCAGTTTCCCCATCCATAAAACAGGACTATGAATGCCGGCTTTATTTACTCTATGAACTAATTTTAAAGTGCACGTCGATCATTGTACATAAAAGTAGAAGTGCTTCTGACGGCTTAAGTCCTAGTTGCCCCCACCCCGACCCCAGTTTAGAATACATAACAAGCAGCCTCCTCTGGGAATAGGGAAGGTCACCAGGAAAGGCAAGTGGTCCACACAGCCCGGCCTGGTGGCTCCTGGTGGGAGATGGGGGACCCAGTACCAGGCGTCCAGATGGCCTCTAGCTCCTGCACTCTCAGCCACTGGCTGGTTGAGAGCCCCCGTCTATGCAGCCCCCAGGCCACAGTCCATTTTGGAGTTAAGTCTGGGTCCCCTGGTGCCTGGCCATGGCGCCTAGCATATAGTAAGTGCTCACTAAATGTTTCTGAGTAGTGATAGTTGTGCTGGCTGACACCAGCCCTCCTAGTGCAGGCAGGCTTCCTGCAGCCTGTAATTAATGTGTTACTGTGTGTTCTCAGCCTTCGTGCCCATTTGCTGTCCTTCCCTCCCTCCTTCCTCCCTTCCTTCCTTCCTTCCTTCTTCCAATATTGCTGAGTGCTGACTTTGGCCAAGCTCTGTTTTAGGCACTGGGTCACATCAGTGAACAAAAGAGTAACAGTGTGTCGTGTAGACCCTGCATCCAGGTTGGGTGAAGAGAGGGGAATTGGGACAGAGCTGGAGTGTCCCACTGACGTTGGGCAGGCACAGGGCGAGTCTCTGGGTCAGAGAGCCCCGAGGGCCGGTCTCATGGCCCCGAGGCTTGTCTTATCTGTAGCTAGCAGCTGTTGGGTGCAGTTTGGTAGGGTATACAAAGCAGAAAGGCTCTAAATCTGTGGTCCCCAACTCCCCGGGCTGTGGACGGGCACCGTCAGTGGCCTGTTAGGAACCGGGCCGCACAGCAGGAGGTGAGTGAAGCTCCTCCGTCTGTATTTACAGCCGTCACTCACATCACTGCATAAGCTCCTCCTGCCGCCTCGACACCGTCCGTGGAAACATTGCCTCCCTTAAAAACCAGTCCCTGGTGCCAAAAAGGTTGGGGACCGCCACCCTAAATGGCTAAAATATCTATAATTGCCTTTCGAGTTGCGTTGGCCATGGCAGTGGCATGGCCCTGCCCGAGACAAGCTCTTAGTGGGGAGCAGATTGGCAAGTGCTTCTGTTTCCTGGGTAAACTAAGGCAACGCCAGTGTGTTTACAACAACTGGATATGTAAAACATTTGACTTTCAGCTGGCTTTTGAGCTGACGGGTCTGAGCCCACTGTGAAGCGAGCACCGTAGGGGCCAACACACAGAGGCCATCTTTGCCCCTAGGCCAGCTTGTTAAAACATATATTGCTCCCCCCGCCCTGAGTTTCTGACTGATTAGGGCTAGGGTGGCCCAGGAATCTGCGTTTCTAACAAGATCCCAGGTGATACCGTGGCCTGGGGACCACACTTTGAGAACCACTGCTCGACACCGTGGATTTCAGTGCAGGGTCCACCATCAGTGTGTGCGACCTGTGGCAGGTCACTTACCCACCGTCTTCCGCTGAGAAAAGTCTCTGCTGTGACAGCTGGCACATAGTAGGTTCCCAAGCGCCAGGTAAACGGGGACCTGGGAGACCTCTGCAGTCTCCTGCTTCTCTTTCTGGGAGCCAAGGCAGCAATGACGCCCCTGCCGGGGGACACCCTCCCTTGGGTTCGGTCCCTGTGCTGGCTTTTGCTGCCCGGGGTGTGCGCGTGAGCATACGGCTACACGTACACGCGCACGTGTGCACGTCCGCACGCAGGCCTGACAGGTAGAAAATAGGTGCTGTCTTTTGAGGTTGTAATGTTGCCAACTTAAAAACATTCCGTGTATTATTTTTAGTGCAAAGGGAAGGAAAAACACCCTGCCCCGAAGCTAATTATTTATGAGCAGTTGGTTCTCCACACTTTTTTCCCTCTCTCTGTGCCCCAAGTCACTGAGAGCTCCCGCTGTGTCAATGGCTTCAGCTTGCTTGTTTGCATACACAGAATAATTAAGATTTATTAAATTTGCAGCCGCCCACGCACTTGCCGGCTCTGTGCCACGGGTGTGTCTGCCTGCAGCACTCGGACGCAGGAAATGTAATTGCCTTTCGAGTTGCATTGGCCACAGCAGTGGCATGGCCTTGCCTGGGACAAGCTCTTAGGTGGGGAGCAGATTGGCAAGTGCTTCTGTTTCCTGGGTAAACTAAGGCAATGCCAGTTTGCAGGAACGGAGAGCGGACACCTCCCATCCGTTGCGTATTGTGGACTCTTGAGATGTGAGCGCAGATGTTGGCTGACCTAGGAGTAGCATTTTCGTTCCTCGATCCTATTGCATGGGTTCGAAGACTCATAATTTTTCACATTTTCACACCTCTGGAATTTGGGTGTCTTATTACAATCTAAGTCTTCCAGTGAGGATTTGGGTTTACTTCCCTCCACCACCCACCTGAGAGTTCTCTAAATTAAAATCTCTGCTGTGGGTGGTGTTTGGGTTGGCTTCCTGCAGACCACACTGATTGTGTAAACGCTGCCATGGGGAGCTCCAGCCCGGGGTTCAAATTCTTAGGAAGAGTTTTTATTTCCCGCCCTTTACCCAGTGCCCAGGTAAGACCTTGAGTTTCCTTCTTCCCCTTTCTGTGAGTTTGCTCCTCGATTCCCCTCACGTGGAAGGCGCCCCACGTTTGTGTGGGCGCCCCACTCAGGTGCTCCGTCTTAGTTGCTGGTTTTCCTTTCTTAGTGGTTTGTAACACAATGGTCTGCTTTACAACCAGGGCCTTAGACTAGATGAAATACTGTAATCCCAAATCTTAGGAAGCACTGGTGGGTTCTTCGTGTTAGCTAATGACTATCTTACAACTATGAATTTTTAAAAAACCCCACTTGTGCCAGGCACTGTGCTGGTCACCCACGTGCCTGGTCTATAACACTCACAACTGCCTCCCGCATGTTTAGTGGCGCAAACGCCTCTGGGCCCTGTGGTCCCTTCTCCCGCGTGCTGCCCTCACGGCCAGATTGGGTAGGGCAAAGGCCACGTAGCTTGACAGGACAGTGACAGCAGCTCACAGAGGGCAGCAGGCGTCCCTGTGACCACCCTGCGGGCGCTGCGGGAGGACCCAACAGCCGGAGCACGGGAGGGGAGGAGCCTTTTATTCCGTGTTTCATCGGCAGGCATCTGCTGAGCACTGCAGGGGACACGGCAACAAACAAATCTGATGTTGGACCCTGCCTCTGAGGAGTTAAGGGCAGCACAGACCTTACTCAGTGACCCAAAGGAAAGGTGTCGGGTGCCATGCGAATGTGTAGTGGGGGCTTGTTTTTTGTCTAGAGGCCAGGGAAGCTCTCCCTGAGCAAGCGACTCAAGGTGAGGTGAGAACGATCAGCAGGATCTAGCCAGGTGGGTTGGAGAAAGGAGGGAAATGAGCATTTCGGACAGAAGGCACAGCATGTGCAAAGGCCCTGTGGCAAGAGGATGTGAGGGCCATTAAGCAGCAGGGAGATGGCATTAAGAAGGGCGGTGCTTTCCTCTCTGATGGGACTGAAGATGCTGATGGTGCCTGATCCCGCATCCCTGGTGGAGGGGAATATGGGCTGCTCGTGGGGGCTCCCACCTGCCCCAGCACCCATCTGCGAGAAAAGGAAGGACAGGCGGTGACTGAGCACCTGCCACCGGCGTTAGCACAGCACGCGTTGCCTCATTTGTCCTTGCAACTTTGGTGGGCGGGAGTCATTCTCCCTCTCCCCCAACAGATAAAGGAACTGAGGCTCAGAGAGTCTAAGCGACCTGTCCTAGGCCACACAGCCAGGAAGTGGCAGAGCCAGGGTTAGAACCCAGGACTCCAAACCTTTAACTTTCCCTCATCCCATTTCACCGATGGTAGAGGATTAAGTCCCGGTCACTGTGATAAACTCATCTTGCCTGAGTTCCTCAGAACTCTGGAGTCTCAGGCTCACAGGAGACCCTGGAGGACGCTTGGTCAGAGCCTCCACTGAGCATTTAGTCCCTTACACAACATCTGCTCCCTCCTCACCGCTGTGTGCTATCGGCCCTCTGCTTGCTTACCCTCAAGGATGGGGAGCTTATCACTTCCTGAGGGAGCTCCTTCTGTCTTTGGAGAGTTCTGTCTCAGTAGGAGACAGGTGGTACTTTCTGTGGGGAAACTGAGGCACAGAGAAACTCTTGGAACTGGGAAGAGCCGAGGTTGTCAATTTCTTTGTTGGCCTCTTAGAA